TTTTTTTTTTTTTTTTTTTTTTTTTTTTTTTTTTTTTTTAAGGTTGTCTTTTTTGTGTATATGTATGTTTTCTCTTGCTGCTTTTTTCTTTTTTTTGAGGTAGGGTGATAGGGTTGGCGAGTCTACTAAAATCATATGTTTACCAAGTGACGCAAATGATTTCTTAGACATGCAGTCAAGCGAATCATAGAATGACCTGGGTTGGAAGGGACCTTAAAGATCATTTATTTCCAGCCCCTCCCTGCTGTGGACAGAGTTGCTAGCCACTGCATTGGGCTGACCAGAAACCCATACAGTTTGACCTTCAACACCTCCAGGGAGGGGGCATCTGCGACTTCTGTGGGTAGTCTGTTCCAGTGCCATACCATTCCCTAAATGAAATATTTTCCACTATCATCTAATACAAATTTCTCCTGTTTTAGTTTAAAACTGTTCCCCCTTGTCCTATCACTGTCAAACCATGTAAAAAGTCAGTCTCCCTCCTTCTTACAAGCTCCTTTTAGATACTGGAATGCCACAATGAGGTCTCCCTGTAGCCTTCTCCAAGCTAAACAAGTTCAGCTCCCTCAGCTTGTCCTAGTAAGACAGGTGCTCCAGCACTCTGATCATCTTTGTGGCCCCGCTCTTGACCTGTTCCAACATCTCCATATTTTTCCTGTGCTGGGGACTCCAGGCCTGGACACTACTCAATACAGGGCCTTGAGAGAGTAGAGCAGAAGGAGACAATCACTTCTGTCTTCATGCTGTCCACCTCTCTTTTGATGCAGCCCAGGATACTCTTTGACTTCTTCTGGGCTGCAAGTGTGTGCTGCTGGCTCAGGTCCAGTTTTTCATTCACCAGGGCCCCAAGTCCTTCTCTTAGGACTGCTCTCAATACATTCTTCTCCATCTGTATACATAGCAGCTGGTGGGATTGCCCCAGCCCATGTGCAACATCTTGCGCTTGGCCTCTTTCAATCTCATTAGACTCACATGGACCCATGTTTCAAGTTTGACCAGGTCCATTTGGATGGCATCCTTTACTTCTGTTGGATCAACTGCACCACTCAGCTTGGTGTTGTTCACAGTCTTGCTGAGAGTGTGCTTCATCCCACTGTGTCACTGATAAAGATATTAAGGAGTACTGGTCCCTTGGGGGACACCACTCATCACTGGTTTCCACCTGACATAGAGTTGTGGACCACAACCCTCTTACTAAGACCATCCAACCAATTCTTTATCTATTGACAAGTCCAAATCTATATCTCTCCAGTTTAGGGATGTTGTGTGAGACCATGTCAAGGGTCTTGCAGAAGTCTGGGTTCATGACATCAATTGTCCTTCTCTGATCCACTGATGCTGTCACTCTATCATAGAAGGTCAGCAGATGGGGCAGACAGTCTCCCCTTGGTGAAACTGTGCTGGCTGTCTTGGATCACCTCATCTCCTACGTGCCATAACACAGCTTCAAGGAAGATCTGCTCCATGATCTTCCCAGGCACAGACTTGAAGCTCACCAGCCTGTAGTTGGTGAGTTTTCTCTTGAGAAAACTTGAGTTTTCTTTTTTCCCTTTTTTAAAAATGAGTGATGTTTCCATTTTTACAGTCACCGGGAGCTTCACCTGACAGCCATGACTGTTAAAGTATGATGGGGGGTTGCCTGGCAGCTGCATTAGTCAGTTCCTTTAGGACCCTGGGATTGCGTGTCCTTGGCCCCGTAGGCTTGTACGCATTCAGTCTCATGATGTGGTCTTGGCCTTGCGCTTCTCTTATAAAGAAAGGGACTCTGTTCCCTCCAGCCACCACCCAAAGATTCAAGGATGTGAGAAGCAGGACTGCCTGACTGACAGCAAAGAATGCGTTGGGTCTCAGACTTCTCCATGTCTGTTGTAGTCAGTTTTCCCTTCTCATTTATGGGAGAAGTGGGGGAGAGAAACCTGAGAAACTGCCTTATACTGGGATAACATGCAGAATACTTAATATGTTTGGTTGCGAATAGTGCTGAAATTGGTTGTACTTGGTTTTGTCTGTGCTTTTTTTTTTTTTTTTTTTTTTTTTTTTAATCAAGAAGATCAAACAGAAGATTGTTACTTCAAATCAAATGACCAGGATCACCTTTTAATTAAACCTAATTGCAATATGAAAAGTAATTGGTGTTCAAACCCAAAGGTTATCATGTTTTTAATACTCATTTGTCATTTTTTTCACCTACTGTACTCCTTTCTTCCTTTGGGTTAAGTATCAAATTCTAGGATGTTTGGATTTACTTTCAAGTTCAGAAGAGTGGGGCAAAAACCTACAAAAACATTAACCCAACACCTGTGCTCTAACATGAGTAGGATAATTGGGTAAACCTGCATAGAGGTGACTGAGAGAGGCTAGTCTTGAATGACAGTGCCAAAGGTTGTATTAGAAATCTACTGAAATCACAAGTTGAGCACTAATAATTTGGGCTGTAACAAACCTTGTAGCACAGCACGACGTCTCCTAAATTGTACCATCTGCCCTGTGATACTTTGAATGTAGGTTCTTCATTTGAAACAGAGGTATATTTCGAATTTCTGGGAAGTGTGATTCGTTTTATTAATAGTAATATACCTGAGTTGGTACTGAAGCAAAACTGCAGTGGTGTAGATGTATTGAGTGTTCAGTGACAACATTCAGTGTGTTTGTTCTTAATCATTTCTTGTGTGCAGCACTGATATAGCATGAATTACTTGGGGGGAAAAGAAGTATACGTTTATCCAATATACAGTGGCTTTTGAAAAGGAAAAACTTTGGGAATTGTTCCTAACCATGTTGTCCAGCAATAGAATTATTAGGCAGTTCTGTATTGCTGTCATTTGGCAGCATAGCAACCAAATTTTTCTGTAAATTTTTTTTTTGGGATGGGGAACCTACTGTAAAGTATTTTAACAGACATTGGGCTAATATGAACATCAGATGTTGCACATCAGTACAGCTCGTGTACATACATAGTGAAGCCACACAGTTTGCTACAAAAGGATTTTTCTTCTGAACAGTGCAGTTTTTAAATCTTAGTTCAAAATCTTGCTTTAAAGGTCTAGCTTTGCGAAGCTGTTCAGAAAGTAAGAGTGTCATTGTCTTCAGCCTGCCAGAGAAGGGTTTTCCATGCTCAGAGTATATCCACAGCACACCTTCCAAACATGTGCTCCACCCGTTTTTTCGCAAGTACTCCATGATCACTCTTCAAGGTTATCAGCAGTAAATTCTTACAAATACACTTACACAATACTGAGTCAACAAGCTGTGACCTCCGCATCCTCCTTTTTCCAAACAACCTCCAAGGAAATGATTTGCATTCCTCAATAGGCCAGTGGGGGTGTATGCTAAAGCAGCTGAGGTCAAAATATTTCTTGTTGTCATCGTTTTTTTTTTTTTCTTTCCAGAAAAACAGGAAAGCTGAGGATGGAATCTTTATTTGCACTTTAAAGGCTTCGTTGCCACTGAACAGTACTTTTCTTCTATGGGGCTAGGAAAATGTTTCTTCACCTTGTAAACAAAATACGCAAATTCATGCCTGACCTTTAAGTGAAGAGGCTCACACAGTGTGAATAGAGGGGCTTGAGTGATTGTTTTAGGCATTAGTGTTTTGGTGTTAGGGATCAGTTACTGTGCCATTTGTATCGGGATCTGTGCATACACCACGTAGATATCCAACGCCTACGTGTAATCCCTTAGTCAACCAAGCCATTGCTATACTTGAGATGTTAATCCTTTTCCTTCTCTTAAGTATTTGTTCTTGTGTTTGTAATCTGGATCGCTAGATATCTCAGTTCATTTTACTTCTTGTATAGCAAGTCAGATGTCATCTAAGGACTTTGAAGTTTACTTCTTATTGATTTGTGAATATGGGGAAAAGAGGAGCATTATTTTCTTTTTCTTAAAATGAAAACATGCAAAACTTTAGGAAATGAGAAGGGTAAAATATCTGGGAGTAACACTTTGCTGAAAATCAGTACTTCACTTCTGTAATCTGCAATAACTAGAAGTCAGATTAAGTCAAGTATCTTTGAATACAGTCCAGGCTTGCTATGTACTTTTTACCTCTGTTTCATAACAGGTTTCCTATACAGTTATGTTCTGTTTTCATTGCTCTTAACATTTACACGTGTGCATCAAGTGCATCTAGTCTGTAGAGTAAGCCATTCAGTTACTTGCTTATCGGTGAACTCTGCTGCTGTGTGTGTAGGCCTATCATAGTAACTGGAGACACTCAAGTACTTAGAGGAGGCAGCTAAAAGGAGCAGATAATTCAGAAGTATATGTTCTTGCCAAACTTCCTGTTTGAGTTGGCTGCCTTTAACTTCTTGGGCACTGAGCTTTTTTTTTTGTTTGTTTGTTTCTTTGGGTTTATCCCTGACTCCACAATGATGTGTACAAGTCACCATGTGACTGTGATAGCAGTTTCAGAAATTTATGTTACCACTGCTAGATGCATGATTGGTTATTTATATATTTATATATAGGCAGCTGATAACTTTTTTTTCAGTATTTACGTTACTGAGTGTGCTGAGATCTGAAAGCTTTATCAAATGCCACATTTCAGTCTGTTTCTCTGAGTAGTATTTCAGCTATTAAAAATCCCCTAACAAGATGTGGTCCGCATCTCTCAGTAAGAAGAGGCAAATGGATTTGACCTGAGAGCCTTTACCCAGCTCTGAAGTCCCATTTTATTTTACCTCCTTGCTCTGAATGCCATGCTACATCACAACTGCACAGTGCAAAGTAAGCAAACTGAAGAGCTGCTTGCTTTTACACCAGAGTGGAAGGCATTATTTCAATAGGTGTCATCCAAAATCTTACAAGTATATATTATAGGTAGGATGGATATTAGCAATGAAGCTTCTTAAATTGTTACTTTGGCCAAAAGTAGGAATGTGCTTAATCTAAGGAATAATTTAAAATTCAGCTACAGAGGAAAGAACGAGCAGTGCAGCTTCAGGTAACTTCTTGTCTGTTTGCCATGGTCAGAATAATAGAAGTCACCTATTTAGGTTTGTAACCTGTGAGGTTTGTACATCACAGTTACCCAGCTGCAGCCCAGGTTCCTGAAATGCAATGTTTTTGAGACATACTGTAAATGACAGAAAAGCAAGATGTGCTTTTTTCGTTTTTCCCTCATTTCACCTTAATCACTTTGATTATGGGTTCTGTGAGGTTTTCCTCTTCCCTTCCCATTTCTCTTTATTGCTGCTTCTTCTGTGCCATAGGGTCTTGCGTTGAGCTCTGTGCTGTAGTTGCAAGTAACAAAGCTATAAGGGTAACTTCTGCTCCCTTCCTCCTACTGCAGTCATTGCAGGAGTTCACCTACATGCATTGCAAGTTCATCTGCATGCTTTCTTAGGATATAACATAAGTATATTGAAAAAAATATTTTGAAAATGAATGAGCTGTGAAGCAATCCTGGAGTAAAGGGAATGACTTTGTGGTGGTAGAGGGAATAGGCATAGTGAGGATAAGAGGATAGCACAGGTTCTACACCTCTGGTTTTGGAGATGTCAAGTCATGTGAAGTTGTGGCATTAGCTGAAGATCTTTTTTTTTTTTTTTGTGAGTGCTTGGCATCTCCTAAGCTGCTTAGGAAACTAGAGAAAGATATGCCAGCTTTTTCTGGTATCACTCCGCTCTCAGAGCTGTATTTAGCAGTGCTGGATTTTATTGGATGTGTGTGTAGTGATTCAGAGATATTTAACAGCCTGATCAAATATAAAATATACATGTAGTATGTGTATATATGTATTTAATTAAATACAGGCAACTCCCTCTGCGGATGTTACCCTAGGAGCAGCAAGTGAGAGCCTGCCACGTCAGCATTTCTTTTGAAGTATGGCTATTTGAACTGTAGGCATTTATTTTCTTTTGACATTTTTAATAAGCTTTAGGTTTTCAGCATTGGTTTTGCATCCAGTTTACTTTCCTTAGCTCGTATGCAGTGCAGTTTAACTGTGTTAACAGTTCTGTAAGAAATGTAGAGAACTACACTGTCCCATTGAGCGTGGGTCAGTCTGATCTGGGACTGTTTTCATTGCTATTCAGTAGTACTTTCCTCATCTGAGAAAAGTAAGTTGGACTGTGGAGGCTGCATAAAGTGCCATACTGAGCATTTTACACAGGTTACAGTATTCTTTATGGCTTTATATCGTGATCCTTGTCAGTAAGAAATGTCACAAAGCCTTTTTCTTGTTTGAAGAGCCATAGGAATTGATATCTGATGTTTAGGACTGCAAGCATTCTGTAAAGTCTTCCTGAGTGAAACAAGACCAAGCCTGTCAACTCTTCTTTTGCAAGCAAAGTATACCTTCTGCTAGCGTTGAAATATGCAATAGAGAGCAGAAGATACCATTAGAAGATACGGGACAACTCCTTGGAAAATTGTACTGTTAGACTTCAATTTCATTAGTTTAGTATCTCTGTTTATGTAATTTTTACAAATGCTTTCTAGCTGTGAATATATATATTGAATTCAAAAGGATGGAGAAAAATCTGAAGTGTTGTGGGAGAGGTGATTTACTGAACTGCACCTGCATCACAGTCTGGTTGTGCTTCAGTAAGCCATTAGAAAAGAGCATGTAAATTCCGTTTTATAGAGAAGCAGCTGCTACATGACGTTTGCAGCCCCTGAAATAATGCAGCCATACTCTGAAATATTTAGTGTATGAAACAGGACTGAGACCCCTGTGTAGGAGACGAGTGTTCCAAGACACAGCATAGAGAAACACATCTGCTACGTGCTCGTGAGACGAATATATTCGTCACAGTATTGAAACATGAGGTGTGGTGCCTATCAATGTTCTGTTTGTTTCACAGTGTTGCCTGTCGACGGTGTGTTGTGGTCGGTAATGGAGGAGTACTTCGAAATAAGACGTTAGGGGGGAAAATTGACTCATACGATGTGATAATAAGGTAAATGGTATTTATTTTTCATTTTTTTTTTCTACATGTAGATATTGAATATATATATACATATATATATACAAAAAAAGTCAGTAGCGTTAGAGTCCAGCCCTGCCTCTTACCTTCAACACAATGCTCGTCTTCCCCTTTGTGCTGGCACATTCATTGCTTGGAGTGGATTTCTTTTGAGGTCCACCTCAAGGCACTCATCATCCACAATATAATACCGATGCTTGTATCTTTTCCTCAAACACACTGTCTCATACTGGAAGTATACCAGAGGATGCTGGGTCTGAAGAAGAGGCGTCTGGTTCAGGGAAACAAAGGAAGCCTTAGAGAGGAACAGGCAAGAAGGGAGGAATTCAAATGCCAAACAATCTGAAAAGAGACTGTTGGGCTAATTTCTAATGGAAGCCAAGATAGTAACTAACCAAACAGTCTTTCTGCCAGCAGCTGTCCTGTCAAATGATGTGTCCTCTTTCAGTAAAACTTCTGAGCTGCCATTTCAGTTTCTGCTTTGCTATTGTTTCAGTCTCATTTTTCTTACTTTGCCATCAGTTATACAAGGAAGATCCATTAATTATTTTGACCTTATTTTCAAGTATTTGGATTTAATTCTTCAATTCAAAAGCTCCCCTTAGATGCATCTACTCTTCTTAGAATAGAAATCCATATATACCAGGGTTACACACTTTAAAGCAGTTATTTCTAAAGCCAAAACTGCTTTGGAATTACATTACCTATTTTTTTTTACCTATTTGTTTACTGTGAATGAACAAAAAAGTGGTGTTTATGTTCTGTATTTAAAACATGTTCTGATTAAAACTTTGAAGTGTTGCCTTGTCTACATGCCTTATTTTGTAAACATTTGCTCCCAAGCAGCACAACTCCTATTGTGAGCAGTCAGTCGTATTGGCAGGAATGGGGTGTAGAGAAACTGTGCTTGTGTACTCCAAAGAGTATGCAATGCAGCCACCAAGCAAAATCTACAAGAGTTAAACACAGCCTCTTTGGCACCTCAGAGCAAAAGAGACTTTACCCACCTGCCTCCTGCTTACTAATCTGCTGTATTTCAAAGCAGTGGCAGCTGTGCAGATATTTTTTTGAAGGGAGGAGGGGGGAAAAAGCTATAAACAAAGATGAATGAGTGTCAGGTATACAGTCATAATTGCTGTTGCCATGTAGATAGTGAAGAGTATTAAAACATTCTTGAATTGCCTCTCAAGCCATCTAATATTATGGATGGAGCGGTCAGTAATTCTCCAAGCCAGGTATTCTCCTAGATCATCTTCAGTTGCTGTGCTTGAGACAAAATCAGAAGGTCTTTTGTTTGAGTGACATACGATAAGCAATCGTACAGTTGTACTCTAAACCACCTTGGCTGTGTTCCCGTGTGTTCTTGATCCTGCTGGGTTAGCAGGTGAGTGCAGGAGGCACCTGATAACTGCTCATCTGCCATGTAACGTGATAAGTGAATGCCAGGGCACTAAACCCTTGCACACCTGGACGTGCTGCCTGCCTTGCAGACTTGAGTGTGTGCCAACCGCTGCACAGAAAGGATGCGTGTCTGGAGTAGTCATTGCCATTTCTGTGTCTCTGTTCTTTCCAGAATGAATAATGGCCCTGTTATAGGCTACGAAGAGGATGTTGGGAGAAGGACGACTTTCCGCCTTTCCTACCCGGAATCCATCTTTTCGGATCCAATCCACTACGACCCAAATACTACTGTTGTTATTATCGTCTTCAAGCCACGTGACTTAAAGTGGCTTTGGGAGATATTAGGCGGTCAGAAAATAGTGAGTGTAATTACTTACGCATTTTTGCGCTCAGCTTGCCATGTATCTCTCCTATGAGATGTACTTGGTTTGCTTTTAACCTTAACCCTCCTGGCTGGGGACCATACTGCATCTGTCAAGTCTGCTCAGTTTCCCTTTCCCTCGTATGCCTCTATCCTTTCTCACTCCCACATTCAATCAGTTCTTCACCCCAAAGCAGTGTTCTTGGAAATTTCTTTTAATTCTCTTCTAGCACTGCTTCATATTCTAACACAAATGCTTCAGCTGTTTCCTATGTTATTTTATCCTGTGCACTTGGTGAAATTGCAGAATAATGTTAACAGGGACCTCCCTTGGAAGTCTTGAGACCAAACCCCTGCTCAAATAGAGTGGGACGAAGTTCAGAGTCATACCTGTTTCTGAGGGCTTTGTCCAGAAAAGGTTTGGTTATTTCCAGGGATATTTTGACGATCTCTCTTTCAGTGCTGCACTACTCTCTCAGAAAGGATTTCTCCTGAGCAGTGAGCATTCAGGATCTGTCTGGTCCTGTCTTCTTTTTTTTTTTCTTTTTTTTTTTTTTTCCCCTCTTGTAAACCTCTACCACTTATTGGAAGATGAGCTGAACAAAACCCTCCTCATACCCTTCTCGCATTGCATGTTGTGCACTCTGGCCTCCTGTACTGAGCTTGCCCCTGATCGGTGTTCTCTTATGCTGTTACTGTGGGCAGTCTAAAAGGCTGTTTGTGAGACCACAGGCAGGTGCAGTACTTGAGAATGATTGCTTCTCTCTGTTGCTCCCTATGCTCTTGTTAAAGGAGCCAAGTATACAATGAGCATTTATTACCTCCAGGGCATGGTGATGGTGTGTGTTGTTGTCCACCGTGGACATTTCTGCAAAGCCAGCCAACCAGCCCAGCCTCTACTGCTGCGGGAGGTGATCCTGTTGCAAGAGTACAATTTTGGTGTATATCTTTGAAGGTTCACTGTTTTTCTTCTTCCTCAAGCACCTACCTTTAGATTTTGCTTTGGTTAGAATCAGAGTTGCAACAAAAACAAAATCAACTGTTAAAAATAGCAGTAAATAACATGTATTTATTTGCCCGTTGCAGAGTGCTAAAGGCTTTTGGAAGAAACCAGCTCTGAACATGATATACAAATCTAATCAAATCAGGATTCTTGATCCTAGCATCACCAGAAAAACAGCTTATGATTGGCTTCATTTCCCAACAAGATTTCCCAAAAAAGAGGTAAGCTTTCTTTGTTTTTGCCTGTAAAAGCGGCATGCATCCAAAAAAGTAATTATTTCTTCATTATAGCACACCATTAGAATATCAGTTCAGGATCATATTACATTAGCTTGGGGTTAGGTGATGCTCAGAGACAAAAAGACTAAGTTGAGAAAATAGCTCGTCTTATATGCTAAATCTCATGGAGTCAATCACTAGTATTAAATGAGACAACGTCGTAGACAGATAATTCCTTTTACAAAATAGGGGAAACCAGGCAGGTATTGGAACATGGTGGATCTGTAGAGACTCTAGAAATATTAAAGAGTTCTGAGTTACTAAATGTAGGGATTGTTTTTCTTATTTAAAAACAGAATGAAACCACCACCAACAAAAAGGCAAGGAGAGCCTGTAATTCTGACACTGCTGCAGTTTTGTTCTGCTGAGGGTGGGCAGGGAAACAGCTCCACGTTAATGGCACGTATCTAACTGCATTCTTGTACTCAGTGATTTGATGCCAAACATTGTAATGGGTAAATTAAGAATTTGGATATTAAAAATACATTTAAATCTTATCTCTTATCATCTGGCTGGAGGATGTTTTGGATGAAAGTTAAGGCTTCAGGTTGGAGAGCTCATTTGTGCAGTCGTGACTGACCATACACTATGTAATGCAGATGCTTGTATGAGTGCTGTTCCCTGGGGTCATGGTCATTACACAGAGCTGCTTCATCAAGATTACCTGACACGCATGGGAAGTTCTGACAATTTGTTTCTGGAGTAATCTATCTACAAGATGCTTTCCAGGGCTTCTTGGCATTTTAGTTTTTCAGCTGAGGATAAGAAGAGGGCAACCCAGAAGCTGGAGGTCGATCAGTCTCCTCAAGGGCCCAATACATCCATGGCTTTTGTGGCTTCAGAAATCCATTCTGTTAGTTTACATAAAGCTCCCCTGTCAGTGTGAGTAAAAGTAGGATTGGTGCTGTCAGTGAGCCAAGCAGATGTGTGTGATGTTCCAGAGCTAATGCAAAGTGCAGGCTGCTCTGTCGCTTTGAACAAAGGGCATGCTTTCTGCTCCTCTCCTGCTCAAACCTGGAGCAGTCTATGTCCACGGTAGGATGTAGTTCCCCTTTCTGCCTCCTTTGTATCCCCTTGCTCCAGCTTTTGGGGTTTCGGAGCCTCTCATCCCAGGCGGCAGCAATAGCTGAGTTCAAGTCCTCAGTTTTCTCATTTCACAGAGGTGTGTTGTGTAGCATGTCTGTGTGGTACTGCCTTTGCTGTCCTGTGCTTCAGCCCCCTCTGCCTGGAGGAGATACCATAGACAGTTGTTACTTTCCCTGCTGTTGCTGCATTTCCATTAAGCCAAAATTATGTTCCTTGTTTGTGCATTTCTGCCCAGTCCAGCAAGCAATTCTCTATTAGTAACTATGATGGTGTTAACTGAGCCAGGAAAAACAACTGTAAAATCAGATGTGAACAAATGTCATTGTATGCCAGGATATTTCTAGGGCGTGCTAGGAACACTTAAGTGGCAGCAGTTCTGCTTAGCAGAATCCGCAGAAAATCAGTTTGCTTGATCAAGGCTTCTTCCTTTGCCACGTTCAAGGGTTTCTCTGAGGTTTGGTTGAACAAAAAATCCTGCTTAAAGCATGACAGTGTATTTTAAAAGCAGTTTTGATTTTCGTTAGTGTATTCTTCTGAGCTGTATGCTTATGGTAGCCAGAGGTGAGGAGAGTTAGTTTGCAGCTGGTGATATTCCTGAGATTTCCAACTAGCAGTATTCCTGACATGTAACATTCCTGTCATAATTTTGGGGTACTGATAAGTGCACCACAATGCTATTGGCCCCTTTGGGAAGGTTGTTCTGTTTGGCAGGACCTGTGGGCAATGGTGTGTAATTTAATTTGATGTTATTGTCATAACAGAAGGCATAACAAGTGCAACCCCCCCCCCCCCCCCCCCTCCCCCCCCAAAATAACATAAAATATGATAGTCCAATATTGTGATTTTAATTAGGCTTGCAGAATTGATGTTAGTAATGTGTTTGGTTTTTTTTCCAAGGGTTTTGTTTCTATATCATACAGCAGAAATAAATACTTTTTCTCACAGAATACATCTACTCTTTCTCCACCCAGAATTTCCTACTTCTGGTTTGTGTGCTTTGTTTTTGGAAGCAAATAAACTGAGCCTTCAGTAAAAGTTGAAAACAGGATGTGATTTTTTTTTTTTTTTTTTTTTTTTTTTTTTCTCTCAGCTGGAGTTTGACTGCAACTACTGGAAGTGTTCACCTCCTTTGGTCTCTGAATTCACAGAATTCAGGATCATTAAGGTTGGAAATGATCTCCAAGATCATCTTGTCCAACCATCAGCCCATCCCAACCATGCCCACTAACCATGTTCCATGTTCCTCAGTGCCACATCTACATGGCTCTTGAACACCTCCAGGGATGGTGATTCCACCACCTCCTTAGACAGCCCGTGCCACTGCTTCTTTTGTTTTAGCTAAACCAGGCATGTCTGCCTGAACATTTTGTCCATTTCTGGGGAATTTCTCCTCTAAAATTCATCAGCTGTAATCTAATGACAGATCACTTCATTGTACAAATCCTGCCTCATTTAATTCCTCTTTATTTTAGCTACTGCTAGAACAACCATGTATTATTGCAGAATAAGACAGTTGCAATGAGTTGTTCTCTGGTCTCTTATAAGAAGTGTACGTTTTCAGCTAGATACTTCTATTTTTAAGCAGTTGAATCACTTGTTTATCACCTGCTCTTGATGTTTTATGTTGCATTTACTTCTGAGCTATCAACTGTAGGGAAACATGAGCAGTTTTATCTACAGTTTACTTTCCTCTAATGGAAATAGTGTGGGAAGGTCTAAAGCTGTTCCTCAGGAATTTCACTGCTCTGAAAAAGTTGAAATGTAGCCAACTTAATGCAGCAATAACATTCATGTTCTTTAGTTTGGCAGTGTGAAGATTTGAAGTGTATCATGTTTGTCTGGATCTCCAACACCTAGAAATGTATGAAAGCATCTGACAATTCAGTCAAAGTTAATGGAGGAGACATGTTCTGCAATGCGTTGAGGTCAAGCCAATTTCATGAAAGTAGGTTTCTGAGCAGAATGATGGAGAGACTTTGCCGATTCCTCTACTGAGGGAAGGCCACAGTGCGTGCTCAGCCCTTGTTAGAAACCAGAAAGCCAACGTGATGCTGACCTGACAAGTATACTTGCCATGGAATTGCTGCAGGCAGCACCATACTCCTTAGGAGGCAGGAGGGGGTCCAAATACAAAGCCAAATGTCTGCAGAAGAGCTTGGTTCCCTGATACTGACTGCCTTTTTTCTTATCTTTGCTATTCATTTGAAGCTGCTAGTTGTTTATGTATGCATGTTGTTTGTGTTTTGTTTCAGAAACCCAAGCATCCAACAACGGGGCTAATTGCCATTACACTAGCATTTCATATCTGTCACGAAGTTCACCTGGCGGGCTTCAAATATGACTTCACTGACAGGAACAGTTCTTTGCACTACTATGGCAACGAAACAATGTCTCAGATGATGCAGGTAACGCACATTTGTTTATGCTGAGGGGCATGCTTAGGGAAATACAGCTGGCAAGTGAAGAAGGCAAGGCAGTTAGATAAAAGGAACTACAGGTTAGAAAGGCTTCCCATCTTCTCTGCTGCTGATGTGTTTTTATTGCTTAATGTCTCCTAACCTCTGCTGTTGCTTCTGAAAAATGTGGATAATAATATTTGTGTCCCTCAAGCTATACTTTATTCTGTAGCATATCTGTGTTAATTTGTCCATTTGTGTGTTGTTTTCCTTTAATGATGGCTGCACAGCTCTCGTCTACAAAGGCATATTTGATAGCACCGTTAGAACATGAGTAGGCACTGTTCACATTTCCATTCTTTTTCTCTGGCAGCTACTTGCAAAAGTGATCACAGTGATCACAGATCACAGGAGTTTCTTTAATAAAAAAATTGAAAAATAAAGGAAGGAGTGAAAGACCTATAAGCTTGCAGTTAGGAAGAGAGATGAATTTCAGAAATGAAAAGCAGAAAAGCAGCTCGTAAAAAGGGATAGGAGAAGGAACGACTTCCAGCAGGGAGAAGCCACAGCTCACCAGAGGAGGAAGCAGCAGGAGGCTGGCAGACATCAGCAAAGCCTCTTGCTCCTGCAGAGAAGGGCTTTGCTACAGCTATGTCTCTGGTTTTTGTCTCTTCTCATGCCTTCTTCTCTGTACTCCAAGCATCTTCATCTCGACCCTTTACCTCAGTGTGAGCAATTTTCTCTTACACATGCACACCCAGTGTGGTACACTGGTTCCATGTGGGACCTATTTTATCTCCTCCTCCCTCTTTTGAAGAGGAAGGATGAGGCAACATCCATAGGACATCGTATCTCTCTGGGGAGTCGTAGGTACCCTCTGCTCAAAACTGTTTTTTCTTTGACACTGAGCTCACCTTTAATTTGAGGTTCCTCTCTGCAGGTGATTTCCAGTAAGCTAACCTGATGTACCAGGTTCTTTGCATTCTCTGCTGTCTGCAGTGGAGGCCTTCTGGGTTTCCTTGTACTGTCCTCAGGTTACTCAGTGATCTCTTATGTACTCAGGATCCTGCATGATGGAGCACTAAAAATGAGTTAGTTTTGGCTTGCTGGAAAGCTGACTGGCAGTACATGTTGAAGCTGCAAATGAGTGCTCTGTGAGAACCATGTTTGAGCTTTGAGAGCTACTTGTTTTCTGATTGCTTATGTTGCAAAAGTGGTTAAGCAGCTGTTGCCTCTGAGTGCAGAGATGAGGTGGGAGAGCTGGTAAAGGAAGGATGTTCATGAGACCATTTCCTTATCAGTTTGGTTTGTGTCCTAATAGAAAGTCTAGTCTAGTTTTGAGCTGTGGGGTCACTTATCTGTTTTCTTGGAAGGCTGTAGCACAGCCAATACTAGGAAGTCTTTTCCCCAGCTCTTAGCATCTTCTTTCATGATTTAGCAGGAGGGAATTTAGGAGGAAGGAGCAATGAGGTGATATTTTTGGTAATACATTGTATTTAATTTTTTAATGATGATTATTCCCTCACATCTCCTTAGAATGAATACCATGACATCAGCGCTGAGCAGAAATTCTTGAAGAAGCTTATAGACAAGAACTTTGTGGTCAATTTGACGTGAAAGCTGGATGGAAAATATGAAGAATAATCACTATTTTCAAGATTTCAAAATGTTTTATTTTTTGTATGACATTTTTATTTTTTAAGTGCAACATAACTGTTTACTGTTGAAAAACAGCACGGAAACCTCATAAGGCAGAAGCTTCTTCTAAGCCAGAGGATAATGGACTATTCCAAGCTGAGCTAACTAAATTTCTGTGAAGCTATTTAATGGGAAAAACACAAAACTTTCAGCTGAAAGTATCAGGGATGTATAAAAATGTGATTCACATTACTTATTTATCAGCAAGAACTTTTTTCCAAATGGTTACTTCTCTGGAATACCTTCTTTTCTAATGTCCTCCAAAAGGATTACACTGTTAAGAGACTGAGACAACTGTTCAAGTAGTGGATGGATGTCAATGCTTGAATCTTGTAATACGAAAGTGGCTTTACAAGCGATGCCTTTAAGTCATTACTGTGTGTTTAGGAGAAGGGGAAACATGCAAACATACAGATTTCAATCTGCCCTCCTCCTGAGCAGAGGACATCCATCTTCTGTGAAGAAGCCACAACCTGCACTGGTCATCAACTCTGAACTGCTGTCTGTGTGTGCCAAAGGTGAAGACCCTTTGGTCTGTTTACTGGAGATGCTGGCATTGACAATGCTCATGTTGTACCAGTTTATGGAAAAAAACATATGACCTGTGCTGTGCTTCCAATAAATTTTACGGTTTTTGACTTCTCATAGAATAGAGGGAGTTTGAGGACTGAAGCTTTGTCTCGACTGCTTGTGTCTCTTGCTTCCCCTAAATGACAACAGGAGTGTGACCTCAGACAGAGATGTTCACACTTGAGTTTAACCTTAGAGGCACAGGTTTTTGGATTTCCAGACTTCAGGATAGAATCTAGTATGTCTTTCTGTTCTCCTGCAAGAATGACAATATATTTTTCCAACTGTAATCCTCTTTCTTGCATGCTGCAAAGCATTTACAACTCTGACATGCATAAGTACGAACAATAAATGTTCCTGTCTTCGGCAGCAGAATGTACTGGACACTGTAAGACTGCATCAGCTGAATTACTGTTTGGCTACCGTTTACATCTCTCAAGGTTTAAATGATGTGGCTGAGCTAAATCAGTGGGCATTTACATGGGAATTTAATGGAGACATTTATTGGGAAGATTGTGTTTCCTGTATTGATTTGTTTCAGTCACCCTACCAAATAAGTTATATTTGCCTGGGAATGTACTTGACAACTTTTAAAATGAAAGAACAAGTAGAATTCCATTCTAAATCTTTCACAGGATCTATTTATATATCTTTTTATAGAGTCAGGCTTTTTTGGGAAGATCTTTATATTTATCTACTGATCGTACCTGAAGAAAACACTAAAATCTGTTTCAAAAAAGTCTTCGAAGTGGATAGAAAAAATTTGTTGCTTTTTAATAAAAAGACACAAAGATGTAGTACATCTGGAACCAGTGCAAGCAATTACAATATGATCTCAAGCCTCTAGCAGGTCATGAGCACAGTGTTGTCTTTTTCAGGAGCTGAGCATTACAAGAGTACTGATCCCAGTTCCTTTGCTGCAGCAGTGTAGAGCAGTAAGCACTGGAGTGACCAAAGAGCCATCATATCTTTTTCTTATTTCTCTTGCAGAGTGCAATTGGTGATTAAAAAAAATCCTGATAGCTTCTTTAGCTCCTTGGCTCTGCCACTTGGCAGCTGCTGAGTGCAGTGTGACTTTGGAGGCAAGCCACTGCCAAAGAAAAGGTGGCTTGTGCTGTTGTACGCTGTTTTTACCTAGTGACTCCTGGCTTCTGTTCAATTTCAAGCAAATGGGACATATTTAAAATAACTGCAGATGTCATAAAAATGTGCATCCCAGTGTGGCACGAGGAGGTGGTAGTTCAGCCATGATGGTGCTTCTGCATGGAGGGGCCCCTCAAACAGCTGTGTGCAGGTGGCAGCAGGGGCAGAAGGAGCATGCTGGAGGATCAGGTCAGGTACCTGCGCTGCAGGAGTGGAGGAAACCAGAAGTAATTGAAGGGAGTGTATAAGCAGGAGGGGGAATGGCTGTTTACAAGGGTGGATAGTGATAGGAAATGGGGGGAATGGTCTTAAACTGAGACAGGAAGGTTTAGGTTAGATATCAGGAGGAAGTTTTTCACTCAGAGGGTGGTGACGCACTGAACAGGTTGCCCAAGGAGGCTGTGGATGTCCCATCCCTGGAGACATTCAAGGCCAGGCTGGATGTGGCTCTGGGCAGCCTGGGCTGCTGGTTGGCAACCCTGCACATAGCAGGGGGGGTGAAACCAGATGATCATTGTGGTCCTTTTCAACTCAGGCCATTCTGTGATTCTGTGATAAAGTAGCAGAAGTGGTCTTACTTGAAAATCTGAACAGAAAAAGGTGGAGTTCTGCACCAGAAAACAGTGACGCTGCCTTTAGCTCTGTCAGCATCTATGCCTCATGTTTACCTCAGTCACTTAGAAAGTGTTCATGACTATGCAGCACCAGCCCTGCACTGATTCAGACTACTGACGGCAAATCCACAAGAAAACAAAAGGGCAAGGAAAGGTGTTTCATGCAGCTGGCAGTGCTGAGCTTTCTTTGCACAGAAGTCCTTGTAGGAGTCTCACTATGCTGAGGACAGACAAAATAACTGGTAAAAAGAACTTCATGGCAAACAGATGGTGTCCCCACATTCCTTTTTTACTTACAGTAGTCTCCTTTATTCTCATTTTTAATCATATCACTGTTAGGGTTTCTCTAAGCTTCTTTTCTGACATTGGATATTGTAAATGTGCTCAAAATGCTGCCTGCAGGCATTTATCCTTATCAGCTGCTGTTGTTTTATTTCTCCTCCGTGAGTCTTCCCTTGTTCATGACTTTCTCCTTCTGATAATTAGGCAGTACTCCTGTGCATGCTTTCTGCCCACATCTCTCTCTCCTGCGGGAACACTGATTCCGCATGGGCTGAGGCTGCTGTCATGGCAGGCGGACTCTGCCATATTCAGAGCCATACCTGTTTGCTTGGGCATGAAGCAAGATTTGATAGTATTGTTAAACAGTAGGCACTGTTTTTTTTTGAAAAAGGACAGCTGGCAGTCCAGCAGCTTTTATCTTCAGCAATTAGCAGTGAGCTAATTGGTTTTCATTGGTTTTCTCCCTTAAATGTTTTAGAAGGGTTCTGTGTATACTGGCCCTGCTTTGTCAGTGTCATACCACCTCACATGGCCACTTCTGCTATTCTGCCTTGAGAACAGACTTCTATGTGGACTTCTTGAGGGCAGGAATTAATGTATTTACTTGGTCAATAATGTCTGCAGATTGTGGTGCCTATTATATCTGGGTCACGTTTTCAATGGTAGCATGTAATATCAAAGGTTGGCCTTAGGGCTTTAAAATTTTGTTATATAATAACAGAAGGGCTACAATGCATACCTCAAATACTTCTTATTTTTTGCCTTTCCAAAGGCAAGGTTTCTGCACTGAAATTTTCCTTTGAAAGCTGCCCATTACTTTGATTACATCATCAGTGGAGAAGCTGTCAAATTGTGAATCCCAAGGTGCTCAACCCCTATTTTTGTGTCTGTAGTAGCGTGTCTCCACAGGTATGAGTACCCTGTGAAGTTTCTTTCTGAATCTATTGCAAAGTCAGATGGTTTCACCACTGCTTCTTCTCTTCCTCTTCCCCAGCAGTGGACTGAAGCTCACACCAGCAGCATCTTGCAGCAGAGATGCTCCTGTGTTTTATCTGCTAGCCCTACAAAATGCTGCACCGTTAGAAAGACCTCACTCTGAAGTACCGAAGTACACACAAGTAGCAAGCTGGATAACATCCATCAGCCCAAGTTCTGTTTGGCCCACACCCTTAGGGAGCCTGTTTGTTTTTGCCAGTATCTTTACTGTAATAATTAAAGGAAATACTGAGTTACTAGATAAGGAAGGTCACAAATTATTGCACTGAATATGAACTGGACAGTGCCTAACAGATTCAGCTAAATCATATTTTTCACAGCTGCTTGTTGAGAACAACACAGAATCACAGCTTTTGTGTTTATTGATCAGTGAGTGTATGGTACCTCTTGTTTCCTGTGCCAGGATTCTTTTTTAGCAGTGCAGGTAATAAAGTACTGTCACTTTTAAGCGGAGCCTGATCTTAAGACCATGCAAAGCTCAACGTCTGTTTCTGATATAGATTAGTACTTCATTATTTTATTTGCAATTTGTCTCAAGTTTATGTGCCTTTAAAGTGTCAACTGTGTTTTGAAGGCTTTCTTATGGATGTTTCAAGTGAAATTTTGAATGCTACGGATGGAAAGCAATTATTTATCTGTGAATAAATGGTGTTAAGATGTTACTTTCAAGTTGGTTTTTTTTTTTTTTTTGGCAATGTCTGTGCTGTTTATGCCCAATCCCATTATTAGCTCTGTGTAAAGCAAATACAGCCTTCTCAGATGTGGTATCATGTTTCAGAACAAACCTTTGTGGTTAGAAGGGCAAACAGAGCTTAAAATGCTTGAGCCTTGGTTACACCAAGCTGTGCTGCAGGTAGAAATATTGCTCTGGGCTGATTAACAGCAAAACTGGACATGGTATTAGTGGGTAAGATCAGGACAAACATCCTCTTGAAACTGCTTCATGGCTTTCTGATCTTATCTTACTTGGTTCTTTCAGGAGAATGCTAAAATGAAAGACAGTTAACTAAGAAGATGGTGTGTGATGAAAGACACGGGGTACTAGGAAGGGATAGGAAGGGATTGGGTACTGATTGCAATGTTCCACTCCTTTTTTTTTTCCTCCCCTGCTATGCCAGCATCTTCAGCGCGGTTCAAAAAGCAGTTTCCTGCCACAAGTGGTGGGTATTTAGCGTATTCATGTTGGTAGTGCCCTTTAAGGATGGAGGAAATGCTCGTCGTTGAAGCGAGGTTGGGACGGCACACCCTGGGCTGTAACTTACTCTCTGCAGGGGAACTGCAGTTTATCACTGAACTAGATCAGTGAGAAATTAGTTGCCACTTTCGCACCAGCTTGTTGCCATGAGTGAACAACAGGATGAGGGGACGCGGATGGAGTGTGAAAAGTTGTTTCCACACCATAGGAATGTAGCACACATCTCTTAGCCTGGCATCCCACAGGCAGCGTTGACTTTTTGGCTGAGTACAGCGCCTACCAGCCCATCCCACATATATCCAATCTCTCAGCTCCCCTCCTTTCTTACCCCTGTGCCTTTTTCAGTGGCAGACCTTCACGGTGCTGTCCCACTCTAACCTTGCTGTGAGCTGAGCCAGCCATGCCACCACAGGGGAGCTGGAGGAAATCAGTCCTTGTGGCCTGGTACATGAAGTTGATGGGTTGAACGTTCCTTCTAACGACTTTGCTTAATGAAGAGAGGATCCATTTTTCTTTTTCTTTCTTTTTTTTTTTTTTTTTTAAAGATATTTAATAAGATATTTTTTTTTTCAAATCAGTACAAAAATTTTAAATACAAAATTATTTGCTTTTGACATATCTCATATATTCTGGAAACATACCAAAGTCACCAGTGGCTGGTAAGCTGTCCGTCTGTTCCTGCCAACGTTCCATAAAATTTCTGAGATAAAGCACCACATTATATCACTGGAGTCCTTAGTCAATGTCAGACTGCATTAAACTCTGTATTTAAATAACAGTAATGCCAGTTAAATCCAATTTTAGTTCTGCATGAAAAATCTAGTTCATTTTTGAATCAAAAGCAGTAGCGTTAGCTAAGACATGGAAGAAGTGAGGAGCAACTCTTTCAACTAACGTAAGTGTGTGATGTGCAGCACTGTACAGGGAAACACAGAGAAGGACACTGTCGTTTTTTAAATTACTACTCTTGAGGTGAGATTAGCACCATTGATGAACAGACAGTTCTTGCATAAAAGTCGCTTTTCCCGTATACAGAAAAGATTTGAGGCCTGCAGATTCTCCTAGACAATTGGTAACATATAAATAGGGATTGGAAATCAGCCGTTAGATAAAACGAAATTCACGGATGAATTTGTGTG